TTAGAGTTACACCAAGCTATTTTATATTAATTGAGGCTATTGTGTTCTTTCTCAGTCTGTTTTTCATTTGTATGTAGGAAGACTACTGATTTAGTTAGTTTTGTGTTCAGCTGCTTTGCATAAAATCTTTTTCAGCTGCAGGAGTTTCCTAGTGGAATTTTTAGAGTCATTTATTATACTCTCATATCATCTGCAAATAAAGATACTTTGAGTTCTTCCTTTCCAATCTGTATTCCCTTGATCTCTTTCTGTTGTCTTATTTCTCTAGCTTAGACTTCAAGTACTATATTGAATAGTACTTCTGATTTTAATGTGATTACTCTGAGTTTCTCTCCATTGAAGTTGATGTTGTAAATTGCCTTTATTATGTTGACGTATGTTCCTTGTATTACCTAATCTTTCCAGTTCTTACCATGAAGGATGTTGGCTTTTCGTCAAGGCCTTTACTTCATCTAATGTGATGATCTAATGTGGTTTTGTCTTTCAGTTTGTTTATATGGTGGATTGCATTTATTGATTTATGTTAAACCATCCCTGTATTTCTAGATGAAACCTTGATCACAGTGGATGATCTTTCTTATGTGTTCTTTGATTCAGTTTTCTAGTACTTTATTGAGATTTTTTGCATCTATGTTCATAAGAAAAATTGGTCTTTAATTCTCTTTGTTAAGTCTTTATGTGGTTTGGATATCAGGGTAACTATGACCCCATAAAATGAATTGGGCAGTGTTCCTTCTGTTTCTATTCTGTGGAATAATTTGAGGAGTATTGACATTAACTCTTCTTTGAGAGTCTTGTAGAATTCTGTGTTAAAACCATGTGTCCCTGGGCTTTTGTGTTATTGTTCAGGAAATTTTAATGGCTGCTACTATTTCACTAGGGGATATAAGTCTATTTAAATAGGTTATGTGTTCTTGATTTGACTTTGGTAAGTAGTACCTATTGAGAAAAATAATACATTTATTTTAGATTTTCCAATTTGGTAGAACACAGGTTTTAAAAATATGTCCTGTGACTGTCTTAATTGAGGTTTCTATTGCTGTGAAGAGATACCGTGACCATGGCAACTCTTATAAAGTAAAACATTTAACTGGGGCTGGCTTAGAGTTTCATCATGGTGGGACTTGGCCACATGCTGGCAGATATGGTGCTGAAGGAGATGACAGTTCTATATCTTGATCCACAGGCATCAAACGGTCTCTGAGTTCCACACTGGGCATAACTAGAGCATATAAGACCTCCAAGACCACCTGCACAGTGATGTACTTCCTCCAACAAGGTCACAACTCCTAATAGTGCCATTCCCTATGAGCCAAGCACTGAAACACATGAATCTATGGGGCTAGACCTATTCACACCACAGTGAGTCTCTGGATTTCCTGGGTATCTGCTCTTATGTCCTTCTTTTCATTTCTGATCTGCTAATTTGGATATTCTTTCTGGACCTTTTAGTTAGTTTGGGTTTATCTATCTTGTTGATTTTTCTCAAAGAACCAAGTATCAGTGATTCTTGATATTGTTCTCTTTGTTTCTATTTTATTGATTTCATCCCTCAGTTTATTTCATGCCATCTACTCCTCTTGGGTTCTTTTTGTTCTAGAGCTTTTGGGTGTGTTGGTAAATTACTACTATGAGATTTCTCTGATTTTTTTTTTTTTTTTTTTTTTTTTTTTTGTTGTGTCCGCACTTAGGGCTATGAACTTGCACTGACTTCATTGTGTCCCAGAAGTTTGGATGTTTTGTGTATTCATTCCATTCTAGAAAGCCTTTCTTAATTTTTCATTCAGTAGTGAGTTGTTCAGTTTCTATGAGTTTATAAGCTTTCTGTTGTTAATCAGCTTAAATTTGTGGTGGTCAGATAGGATGTAAGATGTTATTTCAATTTTCTTGTCTTTATTGAGGCTTGCTTTATCTTAGAGTATATGGTCAATTTGAAGAAAGTTCTATGAATGCTGAGAAGGTATATTTTTGGTTTTGGGTGAAATGTTCTATAAATTTCTGTTAGGTCCATTTGGTTTATAACATATTAGATCCACAATTGCTCTGTTTAGTTTTTGCCTAGATGACCTATTGCAAGAGTGAGGTGTTGAAGTATCCCACTAAGCGTGTTTGAAGGTCAATATGTAATTTAGCTATAGTAGTGTTTCTTTTATGAACTTGGGTGCCATTGTATTTGCAGTGTCTTCTTGGTAAATATTTCCTCTGATGACTATAAAATGTCCTTCCCTGTGTCTTCTGAACAGTTTTGAAGTCTATTTTGCCAGATATTAAAATGACTATGCTAGTTTGCTTCTTAGGTCTGTTTGCTGGAATATCTTTTTACATCCTTTTACTCTGAGTTATCTATCCTTGATATTAACATGTTTCTTGAATGCAGCAGGATGTATTCTGTTTTCACCTCCATTATCAGTCTTTTTATTGATATTAAGAGATATCAATGAACAATGTTTGCTGATTCCCATTATTTTGTTGTTGTTGTTGTGGTGGTGGTGGTGGTGTGCGTGGGTGTGTGTTTGTGTGTGTGTGTGTCTTCCATCTGGGATTATTTATTCCTTGTGTTTTTCTGGGTGTAGTTAACCTTTTTAGATTGGATTTTTCTTTCTAGGGTCTTGTAGGGTTTGTAGATGGACATTGTTTAAATTTGGTTTTATCATGGAATATCTTATTTTCTCCACTTTTGACTGAAAGTTTTTTTCTGGATATAGAAGTCTGGACTGCTATCTCTGGTCTCTAATTAGATTTTGTAGAATATCTGACTGGGACCTTTTGACTTTTAGAGTTAGTAATTATAATAGGTTTGCCATTACATGTTACTTGGTCTTTTTCCCTTTCAGCTTTTAATAGTCTTTCTTTATTCTGTAATTTAGAGTTTTATTATGTACCAAGGGAATTTTCTTTTCTAGCCCAGTCTATTTGGTGTTCTGTGTGCTTTTTGTTCCCTGATAATCATCTCCTTTAGAATGGGGAAATTTTCTTCTGAATTGTCAAAAATGTTTTGTGTCTTTGACCTGTGTTTCTTCCCCTTCCTCTATTTCTATTATTCATAGTGTCCCGGGTCTCCTGGGTGTTTTGTAGTGGGATGTCTTTTCAGATTTAACATTTTCTTTGACTAAAGTATCCATCTCTTTTATGATTTCAATGTCTTAGACTCTCTCTTCCATCTCTTGTCTTCTGTTAGTACGGGTTGCCTGTGAAGTTCCTGTTTGATTTCCTGAATTTTTCACTTCCAGATTTCTCTCAGTTTGGGTTTTCTTCATTGATCCTATTTCCATAATTATGTCTTGGATTGTTTTTGTTCATTTCCTTTGTGTTTTCCTAGATTTTTTGAAGAGACTTACTCCTAAGAACCTCTATCATTCATAAAGGCTGTTTTATGGTCTTTCTCTTATTCTTCAGCTATTTTAAATTCTTAGGGTCTACTGTGGTAGTTTTCTGGGCTCTAGTAGATATATATATATATATATAATATATATATATATATATATATATATATATATATTATATATATATATATATATATTGTCCTAGCTGTTACTGTGTTTTTACATTGGTGTCTAGGTATCTGAGTCCTGGCGATGACAGTAATTCTAGATGCTGATATCTGGTCTTGTCCTGGTTGAGTGGGTTTTGCTCCTTGGTTCCTCTTGCCCTTTGTGGTCCTCAGGATGGTGTGATGATTATGTGCCTCCTGGTAGGAACTTCAGGGATTTTGCTAGGTGCAGCTACTGAGAGTTCCAGTTAAAATGTGTTTGTAGGTGTTGGGAACTGACATTTAGGAATGGGGATGGACTGTGAGGGGATGGTTAAGGATCCACAGAAGGGAAGAAAGCAGGGTGTCCCACCAGGTTCTGTTTATTCCCCCTAGGAATAGGGGCAGAGAGTGAGGAGAAGTCATAACAGATAGTTTGCTACAGAGCTGAGGATGACTGGGGAATTGGATTTGGAGAAGAGGATGGAGAATGAAGATCTGGAGCTCACTTACCTACTTCGCTGCCCTACTTGCTTCTCTAGCAGCCTTGGTAGGAGGGTTCTCAGGTAATGCCTGCTGGAGTTGGTGGCTGGGATAATAGGATGAGTAGGAAGATTGGAGAAGATTCCTGTGTGGTCTGCTGGAGATGGGGACAGAGGATGGAGAGGCCACAGTAGGTGGTTAGCTAGGGAGTTAGGGATGGGATAGGGGTGCTGGATTTAGAGGACAGGGCAGAGAGGTGAAGATCTGCAGTTAGGCCACCTGGTTCCCTGGCCCAGAGTGACCTGTGGGTTCCCAGAGAGTGCCTGTTCTTGTTTGGGGGCTGGGACAATGGAATGAGAAAGGGGAAGGAAGGTTAGAAGAGGAGGTCTGGGTGATGTATTGGAGATGAGTGGCAGAAAGGAAGAGGAGTCTACAGTGGGTGGTCTGTTACAGAGCTGGGGGGTGAGACTGGGGGATTGGATTTGGAGGAGCTGAGAAGTTAGATCTGCAGTTAGGCTACCAGCTTCTCTGGCCAGAGTGGCCTTCGGAAAACTCCTTGTTAATAAAACAGGATTATAAAATAAATCCATGTCATTACTTCTTATATCTCTATCTGTAAGCACTTGAAGCTAGATTAACAAAGGCAAGACCAATGCCAACACATTTGGACATCCTTTTAGGAATACCCCCATTGACTAGATCAGGGTAATTTTATACATTGTAACAGGACTGCTTACTACTACTGCTTGAAAGAGCCTCAGGTTGGAGAAGGGACCTAGAAGGAGGTGATTTTATACAGCAGGCTCAGGACTCAATGTGGGGTCCCAGTCTCCAGGGACTCAGAGAATCAGAATTCCTTAGTGTCAGAGCAGCTAGGACAGTTCATTGATACCTAGGTGGCCTACAGCCAGTTCTGAATTGATGTGAAAGCTGTTTCTCCATCCCATTTTAGATGATATTCAAGAACGATGAATAAAGGATATGCAAGTACAGGTAGGAGCAGAAGCCTCCCATCACCAGTTGCTATACTGGTGACTACTACAACAAATGGTTTCAATGGAAATTTTATTTAGCAGTCAGAATTCCCTTTACATCCTTTCTGTTGAGCAGTATCCAGGCAACCTGCTCATCCTATTTCAGCTCATCAGTTGTATTTAGGCACAAAGGTTTTGGTTTTTATCTCAAAACCAAGTCTTAAGTACTTGAGGTTACTGCAACAGCAAGAAGATCTTGTTGAAAAATGTGTTGAATATTTTTCATCTTCTGTCAGTACAAATTAATGTCCTTTCCTTATATAAAGTTAGGCATTTTTGGTTTTAGAATTGGTTCCCATCATAAAACAGTAAGACACCCCACCTTTAGGGTTAGCACTAGAATGTCCAGTGTCATCGGCCTTTGCATTGGCACCAACAGCACAGGCTCTGCCCATAGGACCTTGGAGATAGGGGCATTGAGCTCTTTGGTATGCTGCATGCAGCCATGCTTACCTCTTCTGCCACCACAGTGTCACTTTTGCTAATAGAGGTGACAAGCAGTTGTACCATAGGTCACACTAGGACTTTGGAGCTGTTTTACAAATATGCACAGTAAGCTGTGGCACAATAATCATGATATAACAACCACCCAGTGGAAATGTACAAACATTTATAATTGATTTCTGTACAAAAATATGTAATTTCCATCATAAAGTAGTGTTAATAGTACCTGACCTTTTTGTAAGTTAACAAAAACAAAGTTCTTAAAGGAGTTGAAGTAAATGCAAGGGATGAAAATTACCAAGAAATGAATTCTCAACCCCCAAATAAATCTAGAACAATTTATAGAAGTAGCACAATAGCTTAATGAAAATGGGGGAATTACTGTCAGGTTCCAGTGGGAGTGTCGTCATGTCTCAGGGCCCAGGGCTGCTGTGCAGCTAGGGACTGAGCTTCCTCACTGCTGATATGCTTTCTGTAGAAGTTAACAAGAACCCTTTTTCTGTAGGTGACAGATGGGTGGAAACATTAGGTTAGCCATGAGATCTGAACTTCTTAGGAGTCCTTTAAGAACATCTGCTCTGTTAAATGCAAAAATATCATTAAACAGTTTGAAAAGGTAAAAAAAGAAATGGCTATGCAGCACATATACAGGTCAAACTATCTGGAGAAATTCTGTTTTAGGAAAAGAAACCAACTAAATCAGCACTTTACTATAAAATATTTTGAAATCCAAGGTGGTGATTTAAGACACTGCCATTGTCCACTATGAATTATCCACCTTTAAATGGGGAAAAGAAGCCCTCCCCACATCAACACTTGGGAGCTTCTGAACTTGGCCTTGTAAAGCTGGCCAGGTGATTAGTGTGACTTGGAACAAGGACTTCAGATGAGCTTCTCACCCTCTTGCCATTGTCCCCTAAACCAGCGGGGGGCGGGGGGGGGAGCATCTCTGTGCATTAAAATGGCAATAATTGGGGAAGTCCTCTTCTCTAGTCTGTGCATGTGTCCATGTCAGGAACCCCACCAGTTATTTCTTAGCAGGAGTGCTGGCCTATATCAGCATGCCAGCTGATGTGATCATGCACTCCCAGCAGCCCATGCTCAGAGTGTGGCATGCTCCTGTCCATTATTGGGCACCTCAGCCACAGCTGGAGCTGTGCATCTGATGCCTAAAGAGCCTGTAAGGGCTGCACCCCATAGATTGCAGGGTGACTTCCTGAAGGACAAAATTGTGGGTCTGGAGATTACTGTCTATTGGTAAAGCTTGTTGGCAAGAAGCTATTCCCAATATGCAGTGGAGTCTGAATGCCCTAACTCTAAAAAGTGGGACTACTACCCTTTCTTATTCTAGATACTTTGTTGCTCTTATCTCAATGTCAAAGGCACTTCTAGGTTTAATTAGCTACAATGAATGCTTTAAAGTTACAGTGCATTTTTAAAAGTTAGTGTACGGAACTAAAGCAAATCTGTGATTTTGAAACACAGTGATCTATGGTCCTAAATGAGGTGAATTAAAATAATGCCTAACCCCAAAACACAAAACCCTCATTAGCTAAGTTCAACCAGAGAAAAATATATAGATGCCAACTGAGGCCTATTGGGAGTTTTATCAGATGTCCTGGAAATGCTTTACATACTAATTTATGAACTTCCCTCTCCACCTTCTTATGGTTGTAATCTGACTATCAGATAACCTTTAATAGGTAGAAGGAAAATAGATGTTGACAAAATCCACACAGCAGAGAAACCTCACTACTGTGATTACAGGTGTAACAATGGGGAATGTGTGTGGCAGATGACCCAGATGAGCCAGACAGAGGACAAAAATCCCAAAAGTCACATTCCCCTAGGATAACTGAAGGCAGCATGATTAAATGAATTTTAAATATTAGTGCAAATTTCTTACATATAAAATGACCATTTTAAGTGCCTAGATTAGCTATTTCAGTTCATAGGGGGAAATGTACAACTTCTTACAGTATGTTCAGAAAATACCTTTGTTCACTCTTCATTTGTTAATGTCTCAGTAGATAACCATATTTTGGCCCCACTTAAAAATTTGCTTAATGGTGTCCCTAAAATGCTGCGTCTGCACAGATTTCCTACAGGAGAAAATGGAAAAGAAGAGGAGAGAAACTCTGGTGTCCTCAGGGTGTCGTGTGGACCTGTAGCTCTGAAGTACATCCTGCTCTGGTCCAACTCTGCGTAGCAAGCTTCTAGAGGGCCACTCCGATGCTGCCTCAGCATCCTGCCTAGCATGTCCACCTCATCAGCCAGCACAGAGAGCTTGTGGAAGGCCATGATGGAGCCCCCGAGGTTGATCTGTGCCTCAGGGACCCAGCGGAAGTAGCACAATTTCCACAGTTTTATGTGTGTTCCAGAGAGACGTGGCAGGATAATGCCATGTAGGTTGGCTGGTCTGGAAAACCACTCTTTAAAATACTGTTCCACTCCACTTTTCTGGCTGTCAGTGTGCTGCAGTGAGTCTGTTTTCAGTTTCAGTATTAGTGAGTTTCTCCTCGGAAGCAGCTCTTGGTCACTGATGATTCCATTCTTTAGGCACGACGGCATTCCTCTCAATGTGGAGCTGTAGCTTTTCTGCACAGAAGACAGATCTTGGCATTAGTCTACTGGAGCTCCCACTTTTCAAAAGGACGAGTGGTATAGTGTAACCCGCTAGGATTAATAGATGTTGGGAGGGTTTGCCATTGGAGGACATGATCCTTCTTTCCCTTGTGGGGCTTATGATGGTCTTCTCTGAACTAGCTTTCTGGGTTGACTCTCCAAGGTAATCACCATGTCAGAAGGAAAGTGGAAGGAATGCAAGTAGCATTTGCTTTGGTGCATGCTCATAAGACTGTGAGGGTAAGGAAAAATTTTACACTAGGTGATTTCTAGAAAGAAGGGGCATGCTATCAAGAAGTCTGGCTTAGAGCGGCTAGCTGCCATCTCTTATGCTGACAAAGCTTCAAGGGCCTGTGCCTCGATCACTAAGAAAAAAGTTAAGATATTATTACATCAGTTAAAAAGGGAGGTGTAGTGAGAGAGTCCTTCTGTGGCACTGACCACGCCCATTGGGGGGTGGAGCCATGGGCGGAAGTGACCTGTGGAGGGAGGTCAGAGAAAGAGCTGGGAAAAGCTCTCCTGCTGGCTGGACTCGGAGAGGAGAGCATCGGATTGAATTTCCTGGTGTTCATCTGTCTAGGTTGTAAGTAATTTCTCCCTGAATAAACATCTATTTGGCCTATTTGTTTATCCTGATCCTTATTTAACCGCGATAGGGAGGGTTCTCAAAATCTGCACTAGCTGCCTCCTGGCAAAGTGCCTGTGTCTAACACTTGTAAAGACACCATGTCTAACGACATAGCACTGGGTATGTGGGAATGGGTTTTCTACTGCTACTGTGCTGCTGTCTGCAATTTACCTTTGTGCGCTTGAAGGTCTTCCTGGAGCCATTCTGCACGCAAGGCGTGCTCCTGCCAATGTAGAAGGGGTTGTGGAAAAGGGTCCGGTCCTTTGCTGTGAACTGAAGAGCCCAGTCCCAAACCGAGGGGAATTTCAAGCCCTTTTCATCACCCAACTGAATATTTTTGCTGATAGCAAACTCCTGTAAGGAAAACACACATGTGAGAAGTACACACCCCTACCTTTTCTCGTGCCTGCACCCTCAGGAGAGTTTGTCACTAGAGCACTCAGCCCTCATGGAAGCACCAATTCTACTCTGAATATTATGATGGGATGTGAGCAAGAGACACACTGCTTGCTCAGCACATTCCCAGCCTTGGCACCAAGGAGGCTTTATACTCTGGACAAAGGTGCTAACTGAAAAAACAAAACATTTCACTAAATGGTACTGCAAACCTTATACTACTGTTGACATCCCGGCTTTAGGCTGTAGCCTAAACTTAGGTTCACACAACAGCAAATGGAACAACTGAAACAGCTGTGTGACAGCATGTCCTATAGCATAGGACAGAGATGGGCTCCTCTGCAAGGTAGCCCCAGACCCTCTAAAATCAAAGAAAGCAGTCACCCTAATGACACAGAACAAGGACCCACATCTGAGTGCAGTGACAGCAGGCTATATCAAGTTCAACAAGATGCGAAAAGATATGGCCGATCCTTTTGTCTATTTGGAAACTTCAATCTTTTACAAACTTTGTCCTTTAAAAGGCCAAGAATTTGTTTGAAATTATAAAAAGTGCAAAGTATAAATGTTCCAAAAAATGTAGAGCAATCTGGTTATTATAACATCACAGGCAGGGGAAGCTTGAAATCATGGAGAAATGGTTAAGTTGTGTGTGTACATGTGTGTGCGTACATGCATACATGTGTACACATGCATGTACAGGAGACAGACATGCATGAGTCAGTGAAGGGGAAAAGCCCAGAAGAGTGAACTCTCAGTAATGAAGGCATACAACTCATGAGGTGGTAAGACTGCAGGTATCTGGGAAGTCATTTATTTTAGGGACACAGTAAGATTTCTATACTTTTAGAGCCTCTGGGTTTCAGATTTACCTTAGGAAATGTTAAATCTTTGTAGGAAGACATAGAATAGATTGCATAAGATTTCCTTCTCAATCTGATCAATGTAAAAACTAACACAGAAACAAGAGTTTCTTTGGAGTCCTGGATTCTCCAAAGCAGCAGTGTTGACCAATCTTGCTGCCTGTGTTCTGAGGACTCTCATGTGAAACAAAACCTGCCCACCCCATACTCATTCTTTCCCTAATCAAGCCAAGTCCCTAATCAATCAAGGTCTAGTATTCCTCTCTAGGATGCTCCTCACTCCTAGCTAAAATAGCCTGACTAGTGCTCTTTGTCTCTCATACCTGGACACATGTATATGTCATAGTTGACCAAAGGCACTACTGCTTTTTTGCTTTGTATTAAATTTTTTCATTTATTTTACATACTGACCACAGTTTCTCCTCCCTCTCCTCTTCCCCTCCCCCACCTCCCATCTACTGCCCCCTCATCCACTCCTCCTCCATCTCCATCCAGAAAGGTTCAAGATGAAGCTTTTCCCTTGCATCAAGGCTGGCTGGACAAGGCAACCTAGCATGGGGAATAGGTTCCCAAAAGCCAGCTCAAGCGCTAAGGATGAAGACTCTGACGACAATTAGAGTAGTCACTAATCTAACTACAAGAGAAGGCCAGTTCAAGCACCCTCTCCACTATTGCTAGGAGTCTTGGCTGGGGCCATCCTTGTGAGTTCCTGCAGTTTCTCTGGTACCAGGTTTCTCCCTAACTTCAAATTGGCCCTCCTATCAAGACATCTTTCATTACTCTTCCCCCTCTATCAGGCCTCAACCCACCCAACATGAGCCCTCATGTTCCTATTCCCTCATATTCACCCCCCAGTTTACCCAGGAGATCTCTTATATTTTCCCTTCCCAGGGAGATCCATATGTTTCCCTCTTGGACCCTCCTTGTTACCTATCCTCTCTGGAGTTGTGGACTTTAGTCTAGTTGTCTTTTGCTTTACAACTAATATCCACTTATGTGTCAGTACATACTGTGTTTGTCTTTCTGGGCCTGGGTTTACCTTACCCAGAACAAGTTTTTTTCTAGTTCCATCCATTTCCCTACAAGAACAAATTCCATGATGTCCTTTTTTTTTCCATTTTACTGCTGAGTAGTACTCCATTGCCAGAGGCACTACTTTTTACATGATGGACCCAATTTGCGGATGTGGAACTTGTTTTTCAAGCCTATTTCTAAGAGAACCACAGACCTAGAATTTTCTAGACTGGAATAGAATTAAGAATTCCTGCTGTGAGGCCACACAACCTAGACTGGGGCCTCAGAGCTAAAGCTGATGGTCAGAGTGGATGATCCCTCAAGGCCACAGAAGCTACCCTCAGGCTTCCCTCTACCATCCCTGCTGCATTTCTGAGCTCTTCCCAGGAAGATTCACACCAGTGGTAGGCTTGTCTCCAGAATGGCTCCATATTCTTAGTCCTGAGTCTTCTTCCTCCAGCTCTACGAACAGATGCAATCTACCCATAGTGGCTGCTTGTAGCGAGATATCCACCCTATCACATCTGTTGTACTGACCACACCCATTGGGGTGAGGGGACAGGTGTGGGCATGACCAGTGAAGTCTAGGTCTGGGTACCGACCTGGATGTACTTACTCACTTCCAGGTCAAAGAAAGAGAGGATCAGAGGAGATCCTTGGAGCGGGAACCGGTAGCAGTCGACTATTTCTTGTGTAAATGAATTCTCCCCAAATAAACCTCAATCAGCCTGTAGTGAATCCCAAAATCTTACTACCTGAATTATCTGGTGTCAGTCTCAGGGTTGTGGGTTCATGCCCCATGTTGGGTGCCATTTTGTTGTGATTAAATCTCTGGCGTGGCAGGTCCTGCCACCCTTCACAGCCCCAAAGAAACATGCAGATGCTATATTAATTATAAAACTGTTGGACGTTGGCTGTGGTTTCTTATTGGCTAGCTCTGACTTAATAACACATTTTTCTATTAATCTAAGTATTTCCACATCTTGGCTTACTGGGAATATTGAACCTGCATCTCTTTTCTCTGCAGAGATGTAGCAGGCAAAGGAGATGCAAAACTCCGTAAGAAACAGTAGAAAGAGAGCTTTTATCCTACTGACTTATCAGGAAATAAATGTCTTCAGCTATTGATTACCAACTCAGATGCGTGAGGAGTAACCCAGAAGTCCAAGTGAGGCAGCCAGCTCAGTACTGTGAGCCCAGCTATGCAGGAAGCTGAGGCTTAGGACAGCCAGGTCAAGGCCTGTCTAAGTAACTAACACACATTGTCTCAAAGTGGAAAGGAAAAATAAAACGTCGATGGAGAGGTACTGAGCCAGGGCTCAAACTCAGTAGCATATACAAGGCCCTGTATCTGATACTCAACCAAAAGAAAAAATCCAAAGGTCTACTTAATTTAATGTGGTTAAAGTAACTGATACCCTTAAACACATTTATTATAAGCAATTTGCAGAGGAAAACAAAATCTTCATTAATAAAAACAAAATTAGAATATTTAATGCATTCTGAAATTATTTTGAAAGGTAAAAATTTATGTCACATATTTTAAACATGCAGTTAACTGTACTTCAATTATATTTCAAAGTTGTGAAGGGGGCAGCACTGGAGAGATGGCTCAGTGGATAAAGCACTGGCTGTGCAGGCATGGGGACCAGAATTTGGAAACCTAGAACCCTAGAACCATGTAAAAGCAGGGCAGGATGGTAGCAATTTCTGTGATCCCAAAACTCGGGAGACACAGATAATTCCTGTGGCAAGGTGGCTAGCTAGCTAGCTAACCAGAATGGGCAGCTCTAGGTTCTGTAAAAGATTTGTTTCAAGAACACAAGAGTGGAAAGTGACAGAGGAAGACACCAGACATCAACTTCAGGCCTTCACATTCACATACACCTACACACACGAGAGAACATGCTTAATACACACTACACACAAAATGTATATGCCCATATATACAAGTAGTAGTCACAGCCAGCATGTCACTTACCGTGCTCTGCTTCACCCGCTGATGAGGAGAGTTGAACAGGAATGTGCCGAACAGTGAGATCCGGGTACTGTCACACAGCACTGCTAAGTATGTCTCGGAGAATTCGAAGGCAGCTGGATATTGCTCTAACAGCTGCCATGTGGTATCCAAGAATAGCAAGAATAAAGGAGACTGGCATATACAGACAGAAAAAGGAATTATTTAATGCTGGCCTCTGGCTGTCACATGCATTCTTTAGTATTATTGATACTAAAGAGACTAACAAGAAAATACCTAAGCCTCAAATACTTGGCTGAGCTAAACTAAGACCATGTGAACAAATTAAACCTATCTATGTCAAGACACACATTTAATTTAAAAGAAAAAAAAAAAGTGCAAGGCGGCATTGGTGCACGCCTTTAATTCCAGCACTTGGGAGGCAAAGGCAGGCAGATCTCTGTGAGTTTAAGGCCAGCCTGGTCTACAGAGTTAGTTCCAAGACAGCCAGGGATACACAGAGAAACCCTGTCTCAAAAAAAAAAAAAATAAAAAAAAAAATAAAACTTCTTAGCTTAGCAAGTGTGGTAAAAGCACACTTTGTGGAGAAGCAAACCATGTGTTTAAACATCCTGCAAGTGGTTCTATAGAGCAACACAACATGCTCAGCCAAACCCTGTAACTTCTGGTTGACCAGCATGTTCACCATCCAGGAAATTCCCCAAGTTTCATAAAACCGCTTGGCATCAGCCCGAGGTTATACTCCTGGGCAGCAGCTGCTGGCAACTCATTTGCATGCTCTACCACTAATCAAGGGTACTTTCTGAAACAACACTGACTGAGTCAACCTGGCTGCCTGGCTCCAGAAGCATTTGCAGGGCCTTCTGCAGCAAAACGGGGAGCCCAGGAGGCCACAAAGACATTCCTCTCAAAATCTCAGTTTCTAACTGCTATGGTCTATTACCAGGAACTGTGAAACTCCAAAGGTGATTTTAGTTAGCTAGGATATGCTTAGCATTTAATTCTATACAATAGGGGACAGCATAATGGCATTTTCATACATGTATATGTTGACTGTTACTACCTGCCCTCTTATACTTATCCCCTCCCTATTTCCTAGTAGTAATTCCCCCACTAAGAGAAAATACGTGATCTGTCTTCCCAAGTCTGGCTTATTTTGATCATGACCTCCAGTTGCACTACAGGTCCTTCCTTTTTATGTTACTGTACTATGTCTTGTATACATGCGCTGGATACCTAAGCTGACTTCCCAATGAACATGGGCAATGCTTTTTGTATGTGACTTTTGACCCTTCCAGTATACAGCTGGATCATAAGGTAGTTCCTATTTTAGATTTTTAGAAACCTTGTGAATTTGAATGTAACTTACTTCCATAATCTCATAGGGAGTGGCACTATTAAGTGTGGCTTTGTTGTAGGAAGTGTGTCACTGAGGGGGTGGGCTTTGAGGTTTCCTATGCCCAGGCTACTTCCCAGTGTCTGAGACTACTTCCTGATGCCTTCTGATCAAGATGTAGCCAACACTACGTCTGACTGAACGGCTCCCCACCATGACAATGGACTGAACCTCTGAACTGTAAGCTGCCACCTCCATACTGATTCCTGTGAGGGCTTCACTAATTTACATACCCACCAGCACTGTGTAAGAGTTGCCTCTACCCCTCATCCAAATCTGTACTGCTTGCCTGTGCCTGTACTTCCTGAATGCTTTCCTCTAGTGGATTCAATATTCCTACATTATAAGGTCTTTGATTCATTTTGAATTGATTTTTTTTTTTTCAGGCAGAGGAAGGAATCAAATTCCAGTCTTCTAAATATGGATAATCTTGTTTTCCCAGAAACCATTTACTAAAGAGACTGTCTTTTCCCCAGTGTATGCTTTTAGTTCATAGCTGCAGTTGTATGGCCTTATCTCTTAGTTGGCTGTTTCTTTCATATTGGACTGCATGTCCTTTTGTGCCAGCCCAATGCTGGTTTTGTTTCTTTTGCTCTACAGTATGACTTTTAGTTAGGTATCATGGCACCACTATCATTGCTTCTTCCATTTTGGTTTTCATTTGCTAAGAATGCTATGTCCTAAAATAGGATCTATTCTGGAGAAACTTCCATGAGCTGCTGATGTGTATCCTGCAACTGTTAAGTAGAATACCCTGCAGATGTCCATTAAATGCATTTGCTCTGTGATTCAGTTCAATTGTGCTGGCTTTGTTTTTATTTTTCTGAATGACTTATGGATTCAGGAGAAGGTGTGTCAGTTCATCACTAAATTCAAACACCTGATAAGAAGTCGTCTATGGAAGGAAAGGCTTGTTTTGGCTAACAGTCTGAAGGAGTATAGTCTACAGTGGGAAAAGCATGGTAGCATGGTAGCCACAGGGAACAGACAGAAAGTAGTGCTAGGCTATGACTCACAAAGCTTAACACTAGTATGTCGCTTCCGATAGCAAGGTTCTACCCAAACATCCCAAAGCCTACCGAAACAGCTATTTAGCTGGACCAAGTGCCCAAACATATGAACCGAAAACATTCACATTCAAACACAATACTCTACCAATGATGCCCATAGGCTCATGACCTGCTCGGTGCAAAATGCATTAGTCTCTCCCTAAGTCCCCTAGTCTCACAGCTTTAACCTTATTCAGAAATTTAAAAGCCCTGTCTCTTTTGAGACTCCCAGTAAACTTCTACTGGTAAGCCCCTATGGAATTAGAGAATAAGTTACCTCTAACATAGACTGGTACAGAGTAAACATTCCCACTCAAAAGGAAGGAATGAAGCAAGGCAAAGCAAAACAAACAAATAAAATGACACCAAAGCAAGGTTGAAAACCAGCATGGGGAAGTGGCTCTAACCCTGGAACTTGGGGTTTGTGACAGGTCATGTGTGCTCATGGGAGTTTATAGCCTCTAACACATATGGTCTCTCCCTCAGCCCAGTTCCATACAGTGCCAGCAGCTTGTTGGCATCTCAAATATCTTGGGGTCCCCACTGCAACTTAGGTTTCACCTTCACAGCTTCAGGCATAACATATCCAGATGTCCACATAGGAAACAGTTTCCGATAAAAAAAAATGATGGTTTTATCAAAAATTGGTGAAAGCCCACCCCCTGTCTTGCATTCTGCATGCCTGTAACCATGTGAACAATGCCAAGTTCTCTGATAGCTCAAGGTAGAGCACAGCTGTAAGTCAGGTATTTTGGTTACACTTTTGAGTTCCTTGCCACTGACCCCTAGGACCGTCTGTCAGCAGGGTGCTCTGATGGACAGAAATTCTTAAAAATGAATGTGCATTGGGCAAGGCCTTGCCCCCAAAGCACTTTTTACTGTTTTTTAAAGTTCAAGGTTTCCCCTTCATGACATTAGTCGTTTTAAGAGTCAGCCATTCTGCAGTGACCCTGTTACCAACTTTAATCTGGTTCAAGCCCCTTTCCCCATCAGTGGCACATCTCTGTCTACAACTTTAATCAGATTCACACTCCTTCCCTTGCCAGAAATACACTCAATGTCATCCTGCTCCACTTTCTGCTCCCTCGCTGTAAATCTGGGTAAACAGAGTGAACTATAACCATTCTGCAGCCTGAGTACTCTGCTGTCCTCAAATTTCCTCTGCTAAACCAGTTAGCCTATTACTTTTGAGTTCTGCCTCACTCAAGTTTTCAGGACCTGAGCATAGCACAGCTAGACTGACAGACTATTCCATGAACAGCTTCTAGTCCTTGTTCCCTTTTGGAACCCCGTGAGCATGGTCTGCACTCTACATGTTTCTACACTTCTCTTGTCTTTCCCACTCATACTCGAATTAAATTGTGTTAGAGAGTTCTGGGGCTATGTTATATTGAACCTCCAAACTCTTCAAAGTTCCTTCAGAACATCAGTTCCAAAGGCCTAGAAATTTTCAGGTTTATGCCAGCAATGGCTCCCCTTATTGCTACCAATTTTCTGTTACTTAGTTTTCTTATTGCTGTGACCAAATACATGATGAGAAGCAACCCACAGGACATTTATTTTGGTTGACAGTTTGAGGGATAAACTCTGTTATGGTGGGGATGATGCTATGAAGTGGATGGTAGCAGAAGCTTGGCAGTGGCTTGTCCCATGGACCAGGAAGTGCAAGAGGTAGGCTCAGGTTATAAACCTCAAGGCCTACCTTAGTGAGGATCTACCTCCTAAAGTTTCCATAAAAGCCAACCAAATAAATTTGTCATCCAGGAACCAAGTATTCAAACATGCAAGTCTACAAGGTGTATTGATGCCATCCATAATTGTTGTATTGGGATCAATTATGTCCAGTAATGTTTCTAGCATCTGATGCATGCTAGAAACAGTTTATAAGTGTTAGGTGTTTTGATGAACTGTTTCCTTTATCAATGAAGTGACTTTATGTCTTCTAACTAATTTTGAAGTCTGCTTTGTTGGATGTGAATACAGACAGCTACTCTTGCTTACTTTAGGATTTAATTTTCTTGAAATATGTTTTTCTAGCCTTCCACTTTCAGACTACATTTTGTCTTTGCCAGTGAGGTATGTTTATTACAGGCAACAAACACTTGGATCTTGTTTTTTTTAGGGGGAGGAATCTCGTTTTTTAATCCAACACTCTTGATAGTCTGTCCCTTTCAATTAGAGACTTAAAATCATTAAGGTTTAGAGTTACTATTCAAAACTATGAACCAACTCCTGTCACCTGTTGTAATCCTTGATTCCTTCTCCACCTGCTTATCAAATCTTCTAGTAGGGCTTACTGTTTCTGGTTGTGTTTCTCTTTCTCTAGGATTCCATTCAGTATTCCCTGCAGGGACTGCTTAATGAATTTTACCTTATGATCTTTATTTCCTATGGTCTTTATTTCTCCTTTGATTATGAAGCATAATTTTTCTGGTAACAATAACCTAGGTTGATAGCTTTGGGTTTTTTGTTTATTTTTTTATTTCAGGGCTTAAAATACATCATTTTAGGCTGCCTGGACTTTAGAGTTTCTACTTAGAAATCCACTGTTATGATGACGAGCTTATTTTTCTATGTGACTTGACATTTTTATCCTGCCACCTTCAATAGTTTTTCATTTTTCCGTTCATTTAGTGTTTTAAAATATATTATGATGGCACTAGAGTGATGACTCAGTGATTAAGAGCATTTGCTGTTTGTTCTGGTTATTTTCCTTAACCTGACAGAAACTAGAGTCACCTGGGAAAAACCTCATTTGAGCAACTATCTCCATTAGACTGGCCTATGGGGGATGTCTGTAGAGCACTTTTTTTTTTTTTTTTTTTTTTTTTTTTTAAGCTTAATCATCAAAATAGGTGGGCCCAGCCCACTGTGGGCAGTCCCACCCTTAGGCAGTTGGTCCTTGGCTGTATAAGAAAGCAAGCTGAGCAAGGCAGTGGTGGCACACACCTTTAACCCCCCCCCCCCCCAGCACTAGGGAGACAGAGGCAGGTGAATCTATAAATTCAAGGCCAGCCTGGTCTAAAGAACAAGTTTCAGGCAGCCAAAGCTACATAAGAAATGCTGTCTCAAACCAAAAAGAAAAAAGAAAACAAGCTGAGGAAACCATGAGAAGCAGGCCAATAAGCAGCACTGACTTCCCTCAGTGATCAACTATTCTCTGGAAGTATAAGATGGTATAAACCCTTTCTTCCCCAAGTTGCTTTTGGTTATGGTGTTTATCACAGAAATAAACTGGACACTGCTCTGGCACAGGACCCAAGTTTTTTGATTTTTCGAGACAGAGCTTCTCTTTTGGAGGCTGTCCTGGAACTAGCTCTTGTAAATCAGGCTGCTTCTTGAACTCACAGGGATCCACCTGCCTCTGCCTCCCAAGTGCTGGGATTAAAGGTGTGCACCATCACCGCTCGTCCAGGACCCAAGTTTAATTCTCAGAACCATCAAGTGGCTTTACAATTCCAGCTCCAGAAGAGTCTAATGCTCTTTTCTGGCCACCATAGACTCTGCATTCATACTCATACAGATACAGACACAGACACACACACACATACACGCAGACACACACACACACACACACACACACACACACTTTTAAAAGCTGTATTATGCTATCTGGAAGTCTTGTTTTAAGTCGAAAGTGCTTAATATCCTGTATCTGGATGACCATCTCTCAAAATTTGGGAAATTTCTGCTATTATTTTACTCAATAGTCTTTGACTTATACCTCTTTTCCTTCTTCTATGTCCATGACTTTTAAATTGTCTTTTTAAAATTATATCCCCCAATACTGTATGTGCTATTCCTACTTTCTACTTTTCAAAGCTTACTGTGTCTCCTAATTTATCTACCATGTTTTCATATCCCGATAATCTGTCTTCACTTGATACAATCCACTGGTGAAGCTTCCAACAAAGTTTATTCAATTTATTGTTTCATTTCCTAAAGTTCAATTTGATTTGAGACGCTTGAATTCCTCTTTCAGATCCTGAATTGTCTTTTTAAAATCACACTCAGCTATTTATTTGTAATGTCTTTTAATACATCCTGGTGTCCAGTCAGCTCTTCTTTGATTATTCTTTTGAAGTCTCTGTCATCCATGCCAATATCGTTGGATCAGCTGTTGTGGGCTTATGTTTTGTAGGGTCAAGTTGCCTTGTTTTTTTTCCTATATCATGTGCTCCTACATTAGGATTAAGCATGGGGGTGGATCAGGCTGTTGCCTAGAAACACTGACCATGATGTTCTTTCAGTTGAAATACTCACTATGGTGCAGACAAACTAGGTTTTGATTTTCTGACAACTGGGCTATAAGGCTGAGTAACTAAATACCCAACTCATGTGTCTAAGGCCCAGAGATAAGGAAATAAACTGCAAGACATCCTACAGAGAAAAGGAGATAAACTGCAAGACAGCCTACAGGCAAACAGCTTGAAGGGAGTTGCTCTGGCTCTGTTCTCTCAGATGCTAGAGGTCAGGGGGTCAGGGGTCATCTCTGCCTCTATGGTCATCTTATATCAATGTGGAGTCCAATCTATTAGCCTTTAACTAACAAAGCTAGGACATGCTAAATCAATACTGAAAGATTGAAGAAAGAGGCTCTTATCATTTTCACAATGGCAAATTTTTTTATCCCATGTATATTTGAAAGGTGCTAATTTGGGTCCTATGAAATGGCTCAGTGGGTAAATGCACTTACCACATGAACATGAAGACCTGAGTTTTACCCTAACATCTCATGATAGAAGAGAACTGACTTCTGAAAGTTGTCCTCTGACCTGCACCTAGTCTCTCTCTCTCTCTCTCTCTCTCTCTCTCTCTCTCTCTCTCTCATACACACACATACACACAAATATGCTGTTTTAAGAGAAGTCTAGTAAGGCAGTGAGACTGGTTACCTCTTTCTCTGACCTCTTCAAGTGGTTGCATCTGTCTAGGAACTGGTATCCTACCATGACCCACTCCTTCTGTATCAGGCTCTGAAATCCAGTAATTGTCCTGAAATACGGATCCATCATCACTTGAACAAGGGAAGCTACCAGACAACTCAAGTCTCTTCCCTCCTCCTCTGTCAATAAAATAGAAAGAAAATGATGACCAAGAGAAACCCTGATTGTAAGTTAGGTAACTCAACATTATATACTTAAATTGCCTTCTAGATAGTCTATGTAAGAGAATTTTAGTGGGTTCCAGCAACTCTCAACTATGAGATCCATATAAACCAAAATAAAGAAAGAAAGAAAGAAAGTCATCAGTGAGTAAAACAGATTACAATATTTTATCCTAATTTATTGCATTACACTGAAGATGTCATTACACACTGAAGCATTGACTCTAGACAGATTTTCATATGTCACTATTTGCAGATACAGTTCATTGCTCACAGTTGTATCGTTTGAGATACAACATCTTTCTAGAATACATTCTACTACTGTTTTGTCAAGGATATTAAATAAAACACAATCTTTCCACTGACAACTTACTTCACATGGCAGTGACTCAGAAGTGAACAATAGAATGGAATTGTCCCATTACATGAAAAGGTGGCAAGCATTTCCTTCCCACCCTTTATAGCTATTTTCCTTTTCTTTTCAGATTTTTTGCATTTTGAGACAGGTCTCATTGTAATTTATACTGGCCTCAAACTTGCAATGAAACCAAGGGTGGCAATGGTCCACCTATCTCTGTATCCCAAGAGCTAATATCAGGGTTGTGTATCTTGCCACTCAACCATTGTCCTTTTCAACGAGTCTAGAATTACCTTGATAAATAAAAGCCAGGCAAAATGATAAGAAAACTATCTACTGACAGCCTTTGAAATTATAGATGTAATAGTCATTAACAAAATACTAATATAACAAATTACTATGAAAATCTATGAATTAGTCCATAGAGTGCAGGACTGTTTTAGCATTTGACAATTAATACATTATTGAACGTATTAATAAAATAAAAGTCAGTAATATCATCTGGAGGCAAACTTCTATATTTATTCCTAATAAAACTCTTAGCAAACTAGTAAATAAAGGGAACTTTATCAGAGACATCTCCCCAACCCCTACAACTAATACCATCCTTAATGATAAAAGACTGAATACTTTTCTCCTTAAAATTAGGAAAGAGACAAGGATGTCTGTTCTCAATACTTCTATAGCACACTGTACAAGAGGCTTGAGTCAGAACAATTAGGCAAGGAAAAGAAATAAATGGCAACAGTATCAAAAAGATTAAAAACTATAGCTGTCAACAATGTAATCCCTGTATATTAAAGATCAAGGATGAGGAATAGATGGCTTAGTTGGTAAATGTTTGCCATGCAAGCATAAAAACCTGAGTTCAGATCCATAGCACCCACATAAAAGCTGAGTGGGTGTCTATTAGCTCAGTGCTGGGTAGGTAGAAAGAGATGTATTCCTGGAGCTCACTGGCTAATTTGGCCCAGCCAAATCTATGAGCTCCAGGTTCAATGAAAGACACTATGTCAAAAGGTGAGGTGAAGAGTGATTGAAAATGACATCTAATGTTGATCTCTAGCCTCCACACACATGTGCATACATACACCACATAAACACAAGAAAAAAAATTTAAGGGAATCCAGGAAAAAGACCAGTAGAATAAGTAAGATCACAAGAACTCAATGTATAACAATAAGTAAACAGTAAGCCTGGAAATGAAGTTAAGAAAACACTGTAACTACAGAAACAGATATCTAAGAATACCTTAAATGTATTCAGGAGATTTAATAAATCAGTGTAAACTTGTATAGTCTGGAACCACTGCTGACGAATGAAGGAAGATCAGAATAAATGGGGAGACATTCATTTCAGTTTGGCTAATTTCATACAGATGACATTCTCCCTAAACTGATCTATGGATTCAGCATACTCATATAAACATTCCAGTAGGCCTTTTGTTTTGAACCCTAGAAATTACACAGGAATATCAATAATCCAGAATAACTAGAACAACCTCAAAGACCAAGCTGAATAGTTAAGCGTCTCAATTTTAAAGCTTACTGAGGAACCATAAGCTCAATGGAATATAATAGTAAAATCAAACTTTGGGCATTTATGAGTAATTTTTCATAAAAGCACCAAGGCAATTTAATGGAGAAATGAAGTCTTTTCAACAAATGATACTGGGTCTATTTAATACCCACATAAAAGAGACATAGATGCTGGGGCTATTTAATATCCACATGCAAAAGACATAATTCAACTTCTTACCGCCCCCTCTCTCATATACACACACAAAGTCATTCAAAATAGATTGAAGACCTAAATTCTAAGAGTTAAAACTGTAACAGTTCTATATAACAAAACACAGGGAAATGTCCTTGTGACCTTGAGTTAGGCAAACAGTTCTTAAATATGACATAAAAACATGAACTATAAAAAATAGATGTTATGCTTCAAAGTTTTTAAATTAGTGTTTCAAAAGACAAAAGGATGGACAGACAGGACACAGAAAGAGAAAATATAAATCCTGTAGCTTTAGAACTCAACAGAGAGAAGAAATACATTAGAGAAATGTAAAGGAAAAGCACAATGAACTACTATCACTTCACCTGTGCCTGAGTGAACATAACATAAATGACAGTAATGGCAAGGATGGAGATGAATCAGCATCCTCATCTGTGCTGAGAAAGAAAATGTGATCCAGCTGTAACTAGTCTGGCAGAAATAAAGCTATTTTAAAGAGACATATGTGTCTCCATCTGACTATCCGACTGTTAAAACAATGAACCCCAAGGAAATGAGAATTTCCCTACCTCAAGAATCTTAAGCTGGAAATGGTACTACCAGAGGGTGAGCTTGCATCTCAGGAAGAGACTTCACACAGTTTTAACACTTGTCAGCCACTGTATAGAATGAGACTGAAGCCTAGGCAGTGATGGGTCAGTGCTGGATGGGACCACACCTTGACCAGGACTGCATAGGTGTGCACATCCTTGGTCCTCTATTTAACTTGGGTCTCAAGTTAGGACCCAGTCAGATGGACTTGAGGGGTCACTGGATTTCTTTGTCCCCTTTTCCAATGTGCCTACACTGATTAAATCCCCTTTTTCTACTCTCCATTTTTAATTTGACTCTTTATTGGCTCGTTGAAGACAGGGGGTGGGACCTGACTTGGGGCACAAATTGTGATCCCCACGAACACAGCTACTCCAAAGCACAGTTTGGCTATTCCTTACAAGATGGACATGGATATGCCACATAACCCACCAACTTAAAACCATGTCTTCCAAAAACATTTATGTGAATATTGACAGCAGCATGCTATGTGACAGCCCCCATATGGAAACAAGTTAATGTCCACCAACATGTAAGTAGATAAACTGATTTACAAACAATGGGATACAACTTCTAAAACTACATATGACATGTATCAACCTCATAAACACCATGGTAAATGAAAGAAGGCATAGACAAAAGATCACATACTATATGATCCCAATTCTATGAACTATCTAGAAAAGGCCTATCTAAAAAGTAACCTGGTGATTTGGTACTAAGACAGCTGTGGGAGTTCAAGACCAGCCTGGTCTACACAGCAAGTTACAAGCCAGCCAGGACTACATAGTGAGACCCTGTCTCAACTCTCTTCCCCCTCAAAAAAAACCTTTTGGGGGTGATGAAAATTTTCTAATGCATGACTCTTGGGGACTGGGGAGATGGCTCAGTGGGCAAAGGTCTTGCTGTATAGACCTGATGATGCAAGTTCAGGTCACTGGAATCTGAGTAAAAGCTGATAAGATAGTACAAACACCTGTAATCCCTGAGCACCCCTGCTGGGAGACAGTCAGAGACTGGAGGGCTCAGTAGCCAGCAGGCCAGCTTGTCTGCTTGCCTATCAACAGAGGAGCCCTGTCCAAGGTGAAAGGCAAGGGCCAACACTAGAGGCTGTCCTTGGCTCTCCACAAGGGTGACAATGCATGTGTGTGACCACAATAAAAAAAAAAAAAAAAAAAAAAAAAACCCTTGGCTCTCTATTTACTAAGTTATCAGTATACTCAATGTGTATCAGATCTCAATTAATGGTTTAAAAACTTTAAAAGTGTTAGTGAAACAGGCTCAGTACTTCCAAAGCCTTTTGTGCATAGAGAAACTGGGGCTGAGTCCCAATAAGATGAGAACACTCACTGTTAAAGAGGAGGGAGAGGAAACTAAGGTCAAAATGTAAAATGAAAGAAAAAATTTAATTAATTTGAAAAAAGGACAAAATTATTGGTGATTTCATCTGAATTCTCGATCACAAATTATATTTCTGGAGTCACAATTTAGTATGAGTCAGTAGGCATTTAAGCTAAAACAAATTAGTCTGAATTTAAAAAAAAAAATAGCAAAGATCTGAGAGGATGCCTTGCAGAAATTGGCATCAAGTATCAGTCCAGTCGGGGAGGGACCCACCTCCCAGAAAAGAGTAAGGGTTTATCAAGAGGGAGAGTCTGTCTTCTATTCTGTCAGCAGTGTGCAAGTTACGGTCGTGTAAACAGCCAACAGACACAGTGGGCTGCCCTGGACTCTCAAGAATTGTTTTAATTACCTTGCAGGACTACAGAGAGATGTTGGCTATCTAGTATGTACACAAGTTCTGCTGAGTGTTGAAGGAAAGCCCTGAAAAGAAAGAGGGAAGACACTGTTAAATATCAAATTTCTACCACATATATATGCCTTTGCCTCCTGAGACATCCTGTCCACCTGCATAAATATATCTTGTGTTTAAAATCAAGCAAAACTCAGCATCCACTATATACATACATACTTTGAACTTGTATGAATGTCTCTAGTATTAACAGGAACGATTCTTTATGGAATATCAGAAAATTCATCAATAGTACGTTTTTTAAAAGAGGCTGGGGGCTAGAGAGATGGCTCAGTGGTTAAGAGCAGTGGCAACTCTTCCAGAGGACCCGGATTCAATTCCCAGAATGGTTCACAACTGTCTATAGTTCCAGTTTTGGGGGATCTGACACCCTCACACAGACATGCAGGCAAAACACCAATGCACATAAAATAAAAATAAATAAATCATTAAAAACTTTTTTTTTCTTAAGAGGCTGGTTGGGCAGTGGTAGCACACACCTTTAATCCCAGCACTTGGGACTCTAAGGCAGGTGTATCTATGTGAGTTCAAGGCTAGCCTGGTCTACAAAGCTACACAAGGGCATGGATTAGGGGAAGATTGTGGGAAAGGCAGAACTGTAATAGGTGCTAATGATATCTACAAGTTATAGCAATGTTGCTTTTCTGGTTTGAATGCTGCACTCCAGTTAGATAAGAAGTTCCCCAGAGGGGCTAGGTGAAGGGCACATGGCTCTCTGTAGTATCTTTTACTTCATGTGAGCTTACAATTATTTCAAAATAAAAAGTTAAACAAACCTGATGTATTCTAACCACCGAGTACTTTCCAGTGAGGACAGCCATTTCTCTTCAGTTTCTTCAAAAGGCTCTGTAATACATACATACAGCTGTTATACTCCAACACAAGAGTTAATCTATATCCCACACATATTTAACAATTAGCTTTGAGGAAGCAGTACACATTTTCAATTCAGTAAACACTTAGGCAGACATGTTCTGGTTCTTGTTTGTTTTTAAGACAGTGTCTTGCCACAAAGCCCAGACTGGACTCAACTCGGTCCTCTTGCTTTAACCTCACAAATGCTGGGGTCACAGGTATGAGCCACTGCACCAAGGTAACATATTACAGTTCTATAAGAAAGCAGAAGAAAACACTCCCCTAAGTCCTGTCTTCTATCTTCTGGCCTTTCCAAGGAAATCCTGGCAAGTGCCCCTAAAACTCTGTTCTGGCTCCCTAGAAAGCAATACCTAGAGTAGGGCCCACTTTAGAGCATGGTTGCTCCAAGTCCCATCTCTCCCCATTTCTCTCCACTTCACAGTGGAAAGTGTCACCTCTGTGTGCATACAGCCCTGGAGTCTAACGCTACGCTGCCCAGGGTGTACCCAGCTATTCAAGGCCCCACTCCTGCTAAGTTCTCTTACCCCAACAATGCCAGCCCATCAATGACATGGCACAAAAAAGCCACTTCTCCCCATGCTCAGGAAACACAGGGTTTCTCTTCAAGAGGATCCACTCTACTCCAAAGATGTCTTCATAGGACATCCTGTCCAGAGCAGTGTAACCATGTAGTCTGCTTAAATTAGAACTCTAAAGTTACACATGACTCATGCTGAGCTGAGCCACTAATCTAAAAATCTAAGCTTGTGCATTGATCTCAGGAATCTCTGTCTGCAGTAAATGCTTCTTTAAGATAGTCAATATCTTTTACAATTCGGAGGACATTTAGCAGGTTTGGGTTTTTTCTCTCCAAAACCAAGATGTTTAAACTTCATTTTCTAGATGTTGGGTTTCTCCTTAGATGTGTCTACTATATTTTTAAGGAACATCATTTTTCTTGATAGTTCCCATGTAATTCTTCATTCCCATTCACTATATATGTACACAAAATAAAAATGTCATTACCATTTACACACAGTTGCTTAAGTTTTACAAATGCCGCTTGTACTTCTTGGATACTGGGCAAGGTTTTATCCAGATCTAACTTGTATACGTCACTTCTCTGTGGATGACTTTTAGTTATCGCATTACAAATCCTAGTAAAAACAAAATCCATGTCAAGACGGAACATTTACAAGTATTTTATACTTCCTGAGCTAATTATACAATGGTGTCACCCTATAGTGAGGAAGACAGGCAAGTAATTAGACCTCCATCACATATAAATCAAATGAAAACTGTGAAGCAAACCTAGAGAATGCCTAACAGCAAGGCCTGACCTCCATATAAGGTGCCTCAGAAAAGAAAGAAGGATGAGGGCCAAGCCAGTCAAGTACAGAGTGTTCAGGAGGAACATGAAGAAGGTGACCCAGGAGGAAAGAGCCCTGTTTAATGTCTGTCAGGACTGTGAAGGGCAGTGAAAAGGCCGGGTAGTTTTTAGGTGCCTGGAGTCAATAAAATGTGACACAGAAAAGAGAAACACCCTAGAGGTAAAGCTAAGGAGACAATATGTCAGGAAGTCATCAGGCTGGGGAAGTATGGCGGCCACATCCTTGAGTTCAGCATTAGATTCAAAGTTTGAAGGGCCTGGAAGATATCATGCTAGAGATAATATTAATGTGCTGGCTACTCAAGACATGGCCTTCAGTGACCTCAGATGATGTTTAGAGAGAACAGAACAGGCTGTGGATGGCACAGGGCCAGCAAGGAACCCTCAGCAAGGGTAGTAGCTGAGGACTGAGGGCATTGAGAACTGTGGTTAACGGTGGGAACCCAGGTCAACTGTGAGCCTGTGGCTATGAGTGAACCCAAGAGAAGCTTCCTGCCAGTCACAGGGAGGTCAGTGCTGACTTTAGCAGACATTGCCAAACTTGTTTGTGTGAACCCATTAAAACCATTTTCTGAACTATTCTAACTTCATAAACCTAAATAAGACACATGAATTTGAAAGTTTGATTTATCCTCAAGTGGAAATCACAGTACTTTGAAAGGATGTTAAAGACAAGTGTTTTACCAAACAAAGATGAATTTAGTGTACTCATTCTTTTCAGAATGATAGTCCTTGTATAGAATGTGGTGTGATACCAACTATTTCTGATTCTCAAGGCATTGACTGTTCTTGTTTATGATTCCCAGTGCACTGAGCACCACGCCTCCTCCCTTGACTGCTTTTGTTTATGCTTCCGAGTGCACTGAGCACCATGCTTCCTTCCTTCCTTACCTCTGGTCAATCTTCCTCTGCTGCAGCACATCTTTGATGAGGGCCATTCGCACAAGAGCACTGCCGTTAGAGTGGCTCCAGCACCAGAACTAGGAGACAGGCAGAATCCTCACTTAACTGGACAGAAACAGTGGACATTAGCATCAATGACATCCAACAGAAGTCACTTACTGGCATCCTTCTTCCAACAAAAGAATGGGAAAAGATCTTCAGGTCTTGGTCTGCTAATGAACTTGGCACAACAAAGTATTCTGGAAGACTAGATAGGAGAGAAAGATGTCACATGTGAGTCCTGTCTCACTATGCTCACTGCTGCTCTATTCACAATAGCTTAACCTCAGTTAGAAAATGCCCTACCAGATCGGCCTGTGGGAAGACCCACTCACTGTAGGCAGTGGGCAGTGCCACTCCTGGGATGGTAGTCCTAGATGCTATAAAAAAGCAGACAGAGGGATGGAGAGATGGCTCAATGTTTAAGAGCACTGGTTCATCTTCCAGAGGTCCTGAGTTCAATTCCCAGAAACCACATGGTGGCTCACAACCATGTACAATGAGATCTGGGGACCTCTTCTGGCCTGCAGGCAGAACACTGTATAAATAAATAAATCTTAAAAAAAAAAATGGAGGGAGGAAGGAAGGAAAAAAGGAAGGAAAGAAGGAAGGAAGAAAGGAAGGAAGGAAGGAGAAAGAGACTAAGCAAACTTACATGAAGAGTAAGCCAGCAAACAATGCTGGTCCATGGCCTCAGCCTCCAGGTTTCTGCCCTGTTTGAGCTCTTGCCCTGACTTTCTTCAATGATGAATAGTGTTATGGAAGTGTAAGCAAAATAAACCCTTTATCCCAAGTTGCTTATGGTCATGGTGTTTTATCACAGCAGTAGTAACCCTAACTAGGATACTGCTCATCAGCCAATGACTAGAGAATTAAAAAGTGATCCATATATACAGTTGAATTTTATTCAGCAGTAAGGAAAATGAAATCAAGACATTTGAATAAGATGATGGAGCTGTAAATCATTCTGTTCAGTGACATAAGCCAGACATAAAAAGTACTGCATTTTCTTTCATATGTTGAACACAGATTTAAATTTATGAGGAGTGAGTATATTTGTGAAGGTCACAAAACTAGGAAGGGACCATGAGAGGGGAGGAAAGGGAGTGGGGAAGAGGGAAAAGGTAATGGAACACATCCGCCATGAAAGCAGGGTAGTACTTGTGGGAGGAAGATCATCAAGGGAGACAGAAGGAACAGGAGAGGAATTAGGGAGCTGAGGATAAATCAGAACAAAATATAATGGCACATATGTCAGAAAATAACATTATGAAACCCACTATTTTTAAATTAAGAACTTAATTTCAAACAGGAGCTGGAAGATAACTCAGTTGGTAACCCTTCTACCACTGAAGCATGAGGACCTGAGTTTGACCCCAGAACCCATGTACAAAGCTGGGCTTGGTGGCACCTGCTTCCATTCCCCAGGATGGGGAGGCAGAGGAAAGTAGATTCCTGGAGCTCTCTGGCCAGCCAGCCTAGCCTAAGCCACTAACATACTCTATCTTGAAATAAAATGGTGCATAAAGTCTGGGGAATGATACCTGCCATTGCTCTCTGGTTTCTACATGCACACATACACTCCACCACAAGTGATTTTTTAAAAAGGAAGATGAGTCCCATACTTAAAACACAATGATGTACTCTGGTGTACCCCATAAATAGTCATCAGAGAGTGGCACTATTTGAGAAAGATTAGGAGGTGTGGCTTTGTTGGAGGAAGTGTGTCCCTGGGTGGGCTCTGAGGCTTCAAAAAGCCCACACTAGGGCCAACGTGCCCTGTCTGCCTACAGATCAGGATGTAGCTCTCAACTATTGCTCTGGTGCCTGCCTGCATGCTGCCATGCTCCCCACCATGACAACAATGGACTAAACCTGTGTAAGCAATGTTTTCTCTTATAATAGTTGCCCTGGTCATGATGTCTCTTCACAGCAACAGCAGTGCATAAGACAACCTGTGAATCTACAAAGATGCTCGTGGCCCTCCTTGTCTTCCTCTTGTAGCCTCTTCACCCAGTTACTGGTGGGGAAGCTCACCACTCTTTAAAAATTCCCTTTTCTCTTCTTTTCTTTCCACCACACAGCCCAGCAGGTAGACAGAGGCAGGATGTGCCATGTGCTTCTCAGGGCATACACTAGCACAAGATGATTGGAAAGGTGAAATCCAAAGGGAAGCAGAAGATGAAAACTACATGATCCAAATACCTCTCCCAGACCTACACACCAAGAAGTTCCTTGTAGAGAATCAACCAGTGATAACATGATAGCACAATTTTGCCCCCAAGAAAGCTGATTATAAACAAGCCAATGGAGACTTCAATGGTTTCAAAGCATTCTCAAAACTTCACCAATACTAAACTATGTTAAAGAAACAAAAATTCCAGGTCACTTTTAAAGAATTCTAGGGCACCAGCTCACTATTCTAAAAACTGAACTCAATGAAATAAAGATAGTGTCATTCGGTCAGCACTGTAAGTACACACACAGATGCAGTCACTAGCCAGAGATTGAGAAAGAGCACACATGGCAAGCAAGCCAGTGTCTAGATGGGATGCACAGGGAACAGAGCACCACCTAATGAAGCATTCTTGCAAATACAGAGTCTGGATCCAGTTATTCCTCAGTATGCAGAAGACCATGTTAAAGGACAACAGAGAGATACACCAGTAATACTTAGAATGTGGGAAATTACACAGAACAACTTGGTTTCATCTGTAAATGCGTAAGTATAACAGAGGTAGAATAAGAACACTATATGTTAAAAGGCCTATGGGACACATCACTCAAATTCAGTGTATAGCATTCTTGTAAGAAAACTGCAAACAGATACTCACTAGATTACCAACAATAATAAAAAAATTACTGTCAATATCTTTTAAATGCCATGAACCATGTGTTTATATTACAAAGTCTTTAACTTCAAAATAAAATATCCTTTAAACCCTATTTAAAACAGGTATTAACCATAACTGGTAAGCTTATCAATGGAAATAGAGTTGGGTTATTCTTTTCCAGGTGTGTGTGTCTGTGTGCACAAATGCATACATGCACAATTGTTAAAATAAGACTTACCAAGTTGATATCATGTAACCCTCATTGATAGAGCAAACTCTCCATCCAGAAGCACCTGTCCTCTTGATCTCTCTGTCCCAGTCTGAGTAAGTTTCAAACAGTGGCGTTCTCTGGCTGCTGCCACTGCCAGCTCCACTCCATACTCCTCCACCTCCTGAGGACACCCCATTAACTTTGCTGGCTATGGGAAAAGCAATATTAGTTTTGTTGAACTATTTGCTTGCTCTATCGTCTGTCACATGCATACCCGGAGGTGTGACCTCCTGCCTTATCTGTCATGTCTCTAAAATCTGTACATCACAATTCCCCTGTCCTTGCCCACTGTACAGACATCTTTCCCTTTCCTGTTCTTCTACTGCTTCATCCCCTCTGAGCTTGATTCTGAAGACTTTGAAGCCATCCCTCTGGCTGCTAATGCTGCTGTGCCACTGTTCTTTTTCCTACTAGGCACTTCCTTATCTAATGAACGATGCCTGCTGCCCATATTCGCTCTTCATTTACTGCCCTTATTTTTTAGTTATCTTCCATTTTGAAACTATTTCTGAGCCTCAATTATCTCACTGTTGCAAACTGAGGGGTAAGTCTGTCATCTGCTTACTTTCTTCATACTAGGGTAGGAAATTCACAGATTTATCCAACAGTTTTCAAGTCCTCAAAATGTTTTTTTCTGGCATCATGTTCACATCTGTTCACTGTATGGCTACTCAACTTGAGAAGCTGACAGAGGCTACAGCACTGCCCCATGTGGTGAGGCTGGAGGAGGGTCTAGACTTCATTTCCTTAGCAAGGAATGTTTCCAAAGACAAGAGCATACCTACTGTCTGGAAGCACCCGAAAAACAGGAGAGGAGCTGTGCCAGCCAGCCTGATGTGACTTGGGGTGATGACATAACCTTCTTGGCCCAGGGTCTCACTTCCACAGGCTTAAGTGGCAGTTCCTAGGCTGACATTCCTGACCTGATTCTACACTACCAAAACCAATGGTGTTTTCATAGAGAAGAATGGTTTCATGATACTGGCTTCTCCCCCAACCTTTCAGTGATGCTCCCTTTCTCAAAGAGTCCAATCTCAAGGGCTTCTTTGGGCCATAGAGTAATTGTTTATTTACCATTGTTTCCAACTTTCTTTCTTTCCTATATCATGTAAAAATGCATAATTATCACATGAACATGCTGCCCCATTTGCAATGGTTAATTCTCAAAAGTTCATCATTAACTCCTGGTATAAGACAGATACTTTTGGAGAACTTAGATGAACTATTAAGGCCCGAGAAAGAAAGGTAAGTTTTCTATCTGTTATCCTGAAAGCTGTAGCAAGACAGTAGGGAGTGGGTATTAAAACTATGAGCACTGAATAAACTATGTACAATAATGATACAGAAAGGGATGGGCAAGCCAGCTATCCTGACTTGATAACATCTGAACAGAGTCCTGAGGAAAGTGTCAAAAGTTGCCAGGTAGATGGTAAGGAGGAGGTGAGCATGCTGAGCAGAAGTGGGATGATGGTAAAGCATCAAGGAATCCATACAACTAGAGCAGGAAAGCCAGACGTGGTAGAAGATTACACAAGGCTAGACTATATCTGTGCTGCTCAAGAATGGGACCACTCACCAGCCACAGTGGCCATTTATATATAAACTAAAAGAAAAATTAAATAAAAACTAGTGTCAGTCATTCAGGTATACTAAGGACTTTTCAAGTGCTTAATAGCCACATGGAGCTGGTGGAAAGCCCACATGACAGTGCAAAAGAAGGGATACTTCCATCACTGGAGAGCACTAGTCTAGACCACCAACGGTCTGACGTGTTGTGTTAGGGATTCTGAATTTTACTCCTTACAATGCTCTACTTTAGAATAAGCAGTGAGTCTGATTTTAACAGGGTTTAACAAAAGTTATAATGCTAATTAGCTTATATCCTCACATTCCACTCCACTCCAGTTCTTTCTCTATAGAACATAACACCTAGAAAGCATGCTGGCCGATTCACACTCAGGTGACTCATCAATACAGAGTTCCAGAGCATTAAGCAACTCATCATATTGCTAAATGTAAAGGAAAAACCCCATATGATAAGTCAATAAGTACAGAAAAACTTTCAGTAGGGCTCAATACCTCTTTCTTTCTTTCTTCCTTTCTTTCTAAGACATTTTTCCCCTATTTGATGTAGGGTATTTTCCCAGAACCTATAGCAAACAGCATTAGACCAAACATTAAGACCAAAGACCAGTGCCTTCTATCTAGCACTGCAGTACTCAGTACTGGTGCCTTCTAGCCAGCACTGCAGTACTCAGCACTGTACTACAGGCTTTGGCCACTTAACAAGACAGCCATCACAGAATATGGATATAAAGAACACACTCATTTGTGGGGGTTAGCACTTTGGCAGCAAATCCCCCAACTGAGTTCATGTTTAGTTTTCTAAATTTCTGAAACCATGTTGAGAATGCTCTACTATTTGAGATTATTTCTCTAGACCTACTTATGAATACAGATTTTTCTGAACATGAACTGAGAACACTATGGGGTCCTATGTATGTGTGCTATTTTGCAGGTGTCTCTTGTTGGTTTCTTAACAGCTGGGACTGACTACATTGTCATTGGCTCTGTGTCTTCTTTGGAGAGAGTTCATTATGCAATAGATAAGTAATCTTATGCAATACTTACCTATGCAATAGGTAAGTAATCTGAGGCACAGACTACAAATTCTAGTGCTTCCTAAAAAGCCCCAAAGGCACGCTCTATCCATGGACCACTCGGAAGGATTGCAGCAGCAAGCTGGTCAAAGTGTGTCATCTTAGGAGACCTGGATTTCCTGATGGCTACCTGACAGGTTTTACATAGAGCTCTTCAACAAACTAAATGGACCTAGACACTAGGCATTCTTGACCCTGGCATTTCCTATGGTATTTTAGACAGCAAGTCCTAGAATGTGACATTATTTTAGAGGTTGTATGTAATTGATCCCTCCACTGGCACTCAGAATTATCTCATGTAACAAGAAAGACAGTAAGAATGGTCAATACATGCAAAGAAAGCCTACAAGTGTATGGTACGGTAGTAATTAGAAGTCACAGAGAAGGGTAAAGAGGATAACTTCAAAATAATGAGGTTGTTCTTAGCAGAGACTCTGACCCTGACAGCCTGTGAGGGAGCCAACAAAGCTGCTTTGACAGCTAGCATCATTTATAGTCACACTGAAAACTCTAGAAGTGCCCAAGCAATAAGTTGACAATTCCTATACTATTCCAAATAGTTGCATTCTACAATTTTTTCAAATAAGCATTTAAAATTAATTCTAAGATACTAATTTAAGGACTATATTACTAAAAATGATAAATTAATGAAGTTCACTAAAAATGTACATTGTCTTAATGGGACAGCTCTGAATTACAGTAACATTTTTAGGTGTTTGTGTGCAACAGCTGTTCTGAGGCCTGTAGAATTACACACTGCCCTGTACATCAAGATGCTCACTGAAGTATGTGGATGGCTACTGGTCCTTTCAGAAATGGCTCTCTCATCTGATACTGGGCACAAAAGAAAACCTCACACTGTCTAAGACGGTAGGAGAGTCTTTTCCAGACAACTGCAGGGGACAGTCTCCAACTTCATATCCTATTTGTGGAAACACCTTCACCATCTACCTGCCTGAAAAGGGGACTTCTTTAATCCAGCAAATGATCAAGGTGCCATCCAGAGGTTCAAGAGAAGGTAACTGAGCATCAAATTAATGAACTGTGACTGCACTGTATGCAAATTTCAGGCTTCTTTTGATCTTAGGGATGCACTTTATGCTTCTGTAACAGCATGGAAGGATATTAAAGGATGTTACCCTATGAGGAAACTGAGTAAAACTTTGGCCAGAACTATGCTTATGAAGAATTTTCTGAAGGAGGAGGAGTTAGAAGGATGTACTATTAAAAATGCTCCTAAATGTTTTAAGTAATTACTAATCATCCAATTGCATCAGCCAGTTACAAGAAGAGAAGCAGGACTGGTTTATAAAAAAAACATGATGAAGGAGAAAGGATCTAAAAAGTAACTCATGGAGGTGTCAGGTCACCACTAGTACAGTAAACTGTATGTGGTGAGCCCAAGCTATCATGTTTTTGCAAAAGTACTAACTGAGTCACCAAACCTATCAGGAAAAAAAGCAGCATGAAGAAATGGGTTGTATCACAGCAAACTGAAGTAGGCTTCAAAGGCTGACTGGAAATTTTCATACTAGCTGCTGTCTTGAAACAGGGTATCTCACTAATGAGCTTGTGATCACCATTCTGTGGCTGACATTTAGGATTTATGTTTTGTTTCCAGATACAGAGTGAATGTACATAAAAATATCAACTTCAAAAATAACTGTGCTGTTCAAGACTAAATTATAATTACTGTACATATGGATAAGAAAAATAAGACACAAATATTGTGCTATCCAATTTCTATGAAGTAGAAAATGAAGCTGTTCTGAGATGTTATTTTCATATATCATTCTAGTGTTGCTAAGTACCTTTCAAAGTCATGAAGATGTTCTTAAAGCATGTCTGTCCCAAGCACTAATGCCACATTTATATGCCATGGCAGCACAGTGAACTGTGTGCTTGCATCATAAGTTATGCAAATTACTACCTTGTATTGTAAGGTAAGACATGTAAAGAAAGTTTCAGTTCAATAGAAAATCTATAAGCTCTAGGGCAGTGGTCCTCAACCTTCCTAATGCTTCGATAATTTAACATAGTTCCTCCTGTTTCGGTGAGCCCCCCCAACCATAAAATTATCCTCACTGCTACTGCATAATTATAATTTTGCTACTGCTATGGGTCATAATGTAAATATTTTTGGAGACAGAGGTTTGCCCACAGGTTGAGAACCACTGCCCTAGCTCTTGCTGGGACAAATGGATCTCTCATTAATTTTTCTTCCCTGAGCAGTGGTAGAATATGTACTTCTGGCAACTGTCACTGTCCAGTCACTAACCCACAGGGAGGCTAACAGGAGATACATGGTCTCTGTGTTAGGAATGACATTATCTAAAACACACTATTTAAAACAGAATAACATGATCAAATCCAAGTCTTTTCTTGATGATGTCATAGCTAACACATACATGAACAAAACTAATTACCACAAAACTGTCCAGAGTACATCTATTTTTTGATGAATGCTCATCTTCTTTCTACTGGTCATATTCAGAACAGAAAGTCAGTATTTTGAAAATCTAAACAAAGTTCTCTAAAAGGTTTTAACCATTTCAGTTTTAATATGAAATCATATTTTGCCAGAAATTTTGTGGATTTCAGGTATCTTTTGACTTTCTGCCAGTTTTAAAATTTGAGCTACCAAATAAAAATAACAGGAGATATACTTAACATAAAATATAAACCAGTGCCTACAGCAAGGGCTTATGGCAGCCCGGTCACTTCCAAGAGATTGACAAACAGTAAGCTCTTTTAGTGCATAATGTTTATTTCTTAGCAGCTGTGAAGCCAATAACCCTACACTCACTAAAATTCTAACAAACATACAAATAAAATGGACACATGTAAAGTTAGTCACAATATTTAGTATTTTCATATTTACCTGAATTGTGGTATTTTTTCCCAACATATTCAAATGCAAAGAGTAGCTGGAGGTCTGTTGGCTGGGAATAATGAGCTATTGCAAGGCATACCTAGGAAAAATTCTATATTTAGAATTTGAATTTAACACACTTGGTTAAATGAAATGTACAATAAGGCCTTGGCCACTGGAAGAGTCATTCTGGGACTGTGACTACAGATACTAGTTACATGTTTTCCTGGTGACCTAGAATATTAAAGAACTATTTCAGGCCAAGTATCTCATTAATTGTTGTGTCCCCAAGACACTGTTTAATCTTTAAGTAGTACACTGTGCATATTCAGTGTGTATTTGCTGAGTTCAATTTTTAAGTGGAATAATTTTATCCATAAATAAAACTTGAAAGCTAAAGAAGCATTCTCCCAAAAAAGACAGTAACAACATATCCACTCAATAACAAAACCCAAAGTTTCAATTTTAGTGGATTTAAAAAATCATTAGGGATTTAAAAAATCTAAATATTAAACAACAGCCATAAAAAATTAAAATTGGGAGTACCTCTATATAGCTACAGATAAAGATATAACTGGCACAGAGAAGTACATTTTTAAAAAGCATTCCAGTGAAATGGAATACAACTAGAAAAGCATGGGCTAGCAAATCAACAAATCATAACCTGATTCCAAGCCCTACTAAGCACTTGCTATGACTTGCGTGAATTGGTTCTTTTTTTCATCTATGAGATGATGGAAATTCCTGAGCTGTCTAAGTATTGACAACTGAGCATGCCTAACCATCAAAGGAACTCTCTACATAGAAACAATACTTTTCTCAAAGACTACTGGACATAATGAAGGTCAGGTTCCCATGCTTACAAGCCATGGATGAAACTGAGGAAGAAAACAGCCTCAGGTGAACAAAGAAGAGAAAAGAAATCTAAGGCGTAGAGCAAGAAGGGTAGATGGCCTTTCTTAAAGTGGTTATCTATGACTTAGAGGTGAAGCATAAACCAGAATGATATACTTTTGACAATGAGCCAGCAAGATAAGTTCATTGTTAGCCATTTCAAATCAGTGGTTTTTTGAGTGAATTGATGCAAATTCATTAACCATTAAGTATCTGTCAGCTTGTTACTTAAACTATATTTTAAAGTATCTTCCAGATAATAACATCTCCTATTGTAAAAAATTAAAACATAAACCAAGGAGACATAATTTGTTACTAGATTTTAATGTAAGGAAAAGCTTCCTAAAACTTCTATTGTGTAACGTGTACGGTTTTTCTACCCGCTGCCCGGTCTGGTCCCGCTGCCGCGCCAGCCCCAAATAACACACAGAGACTCTGTATTTGATATTATACTGTTGGCCAGGTACTAGTTTCTTATCGGCTAGCTCTGCCTTAGTTATTAACCCATTTGTGTTAATCTATGTATTTCCACGTGGTCTTCTTACCCGGAGCCAGCTGCCGCATACTGCTCTCTCCGGGCTCTCCATCTTGACCCTCCTTACTACTTCCTCTTTCCTCCTTGTCTCCTAGTCCCTCCTATCTTCCTTTCCTATTGGCCAACAGTCTTTATTATTACCCAGTATGAGAAACATATACAGAATGACATCTCCCATCATCTCCTCTTTTCTGCCTAAATGAAAAGGGTTTTAACATTAACATAGCAAAATATATTATACAACAGTTATCAAGAATCACACTTATCAATATTTAGTCCATTAACATTTAGCAAGATTTGAAGAAAATATTCCATCATCTATTCTTTGTGTGTCTAAAGTCTATACCATAACATATCTTTAACCCTAACTAATGAAAACTATAACCATTACTATCTGTCTTCAACTCCTTCAAAGACCACAGAAGGATAATATATAAACTCTAGAAATGACAGAGACATCCCACTCCTGACACCAGGAGAGCCCGAGAGAGCAGTATGCGGCAGCCGGCTCCAGGTAAGAAGACCACGTGGAAATACATAGATTAACACAAATGGGTTAATAACTAAGGCAGAGCTAGCCGATAAGAAACTAGTACCTGGCCAACAGTATAATATCAAATACAGAGTCTCTGTGTGTTATTTGGGGCTGGCGCGGCAGCGGGACAAGACCAGGCGGCGGGGCGGAAAAACCCGTACACGTTACAAATGGCGCCCACGTGGTTAATAAGAACTTCCACTTAAAATTTAACAAAAGCTTAAAAAAGGGTTTTAGAAGCAAAAGAACAGAGACAAGCAAGGTTTCTTGGTAGCAGCATTTTTCTCAGTTGAACTCTGTTTTGCGAGAGACAAGCAGATATTTGCACGGCTCCTTTTAAGGGAAGATTCCTGACTCAGCATAAGCGGCAAAAAAAACTGCAAGGCTTTTAAGAAACTCTGCTAACAATTCATTGGTGTGTATGAGAGCTGGCAATGGCAGTGACCACATCTCCAAGCTGGCAACCTGCTGCTTGCTGCCCGTAGACTAAGGCAGTGACCACAGCTCTCATTGCTGGAGGTAAAATAGCCACCACCATCTTTGATAAACCGTGGCAGAAACAACAAAGACTTTCATTTTATCAATGTTGTTGTTTACCAGATAAAAGACTCGTGGCCAGAAAAAGAAAAAAATTTACAGTAAAGACAGATTCACATTAAGAAAAAGCGCTAAAAGTTTACAGTGTGTTTTAAAAAAATACGTAGGCTTGGGGAAAAAAAAAAGATGAAAAGCTCAGAGAGAATCTGGTTACTGTATGCTATTGTGTTGTCTCTGCATTGTTTGACTGCTGAGAAAATAACAACAACTGATAAAGGAAATGCTGCTGGATTAATTCAATTTATATATTTTAAAAATGCTTTGACTCCAACATTTAAGTTCAAGGACAAGTTACTGGGGAAAAGGATTTCTATTTTTGTTTCCACAGAAAATGAAAAGCTGTGGATTCCTTCCAGACTAATGTAGTCTGGAACAGTATTCCTGGTGATCCAACATTCAAAACAGCTTGAACAAGGCAGCCTTGCAGACTACAGCCAGGATTTCTGCATCTTCTTAGGTACCTCATGACAGCGCCCCCTATCAGCAGGAAGTAGTTTGGAAAGAACGATGCCCAAATTCCCAAATATTGTTTATAAATGTTTGTTTTCATTTAAATGGACTTGGTTATAAATGGTTAATGATCACAGCCAATTCTTTTTAAAGGTAAAAAGGGGATTATGGTATACATATGAATACTTTGTTTTGGAATTGATTTTCATTTATTGATACAATTTAATGTCAATTTTGTGAGATGTATATTTCTCCTCTTGTTTAGGTATTGTGTTTATATAGCTCATTTAGAAATGTAATGTATAATGTAGTACAGATTATAGATAATTACCCATGATAGTCAAAGCTTAGAGTTAAGTTAGTTAAGTTTTTTAAGATACACAGAGATGTATTTGAGATAGGAATTCTTCAAACCTTTCAAAGACCTACAGAATATGGCATTTAAAATGGTTTAGGGTTTTTCTTGACAGTGAGACATAAATGCTCCTGGCAACACCACCTGCGTCAGAAAGGAAGATGGACATTGAAGAAACTCGTAATGGAGTTTGCTTCCAATATGGCAAGACTAGCCATTTAGACAAGATACTGCTCTTGTCTGGACTGTTTAACTTTTTGATGTATAAACTGGACATGCAGGATCCACAGAAAGTGACTGCTGATTCAAGATAGACATTGCTACAGAGTTCCTGCTTCGTGAAAGAGTCTGCCAGACAGTCTGCAGGACACAGAAAAAAGTGACGGACAAACTGCAAATACAAGAAGACAGTTTAAAGTCTCCTGCTTTAGATGATATGATAGTTTACATAAGCGACCCAATAAACTCTACCAGGGAACTCCTACAGCTGATAAACACCTTCAGCAAACTAGCAGGATACAAGATAAACTCAAAAAAATCAGTAGCCCTATTTTTTTCAGACGACAAAGAGGCAGAGAAAGAAATCAGAGAAACATCACCCTTTACAATAGCCACAAGCAACATAAAGTATCTTGGTGTAACGTTTACCAAACAAGTAAAAGATCTATATAATAAGAACTTTGTGACTCTAAAGAAAGAAATTAAAGAAGATACCAGAAAATGGAAAGACCTCCCATGCTCTTGGTTAGGTAGGATAAACATAGTTAAAATGGCAATCTTGCCAAAAGCAATCTACAGATTCAATGCAATCCCCATTAAAATCCCACCACAATTCTTCACCGACCTTGAAAGGATAATAATCAACTTTATATGGAAAAACAAAAGACCCAGGATAGCCAAAACAACCCTATACAATAAAAGAACTTCAGGAGGCATCACCATTCCTGACTTTAAGCTCTACTACAGAGCTATAGTTCTGAAAACAGCCTGGTATTGGCATAAAAATAGACAGGTAGACCAATGGAATCGAATTGAAAATCCTGATATTAATCCACACACCTATGAACACCTGATTTACGACAAAACAGCTAAAATTATACAATGGGGCAAAGACAGCATCTTCAACAAATGGTGCTGGCACAATTGGATGAGGGTGTGTAGAAGACTGCAGATAGACCCATGTCTGTCGCCATGCACAAAACTCAAGTCCAAATGGATCAAAGACCTTAACATCAATCCAGCCACATTGAACCTCTTAGAAGAGAAAGTAGGAGGTACCCTTGAACAAATTGGTATAGGAGACCGCTTCTTGAACATAACTCCAGGGGCACAGACACTGAAAGAAACAATTAATAAATGGGACCTCTTCAAACTTAGAAGCTTCTGTAAGGCAAAGGACACAGTTGACAAGACCAAACGGCAGCCCACTGACTGGGAAAAGATTTTCACTAATCCTATATCCGACAAAGGGCTGATCTCCAAAATATACAAAGAACTCAAGAAACTAGTCAACAAAACACCAAATAACCCTATTAAAAAATGGGGTACAGAACTGAAGAAAGAATTCTCAATGGAGGAAATCAAAAAGGCTGAAAGACACTTAAGAAAATGCTCCACATCCTTAGCTATCAGGGAAATGCAAATCAAAACAACTTTGAGATACCATCTTACCCCTGCCAGAATGGCTAAAATTAGAAACACCAGTGATGACTTATGTTGGAGAGGATGTGGAGA